AGGGTACCAGAAAAGTATGCGCCTTGTCCCCACTTCTATTGAATATCATACTGAAGGCCCAAGATAACAACGGAGGACAGTGGAAGGACACTTAAGATATTCAAATTGGAGAGGAGGAGGTGAAACTATCGCTATTTGCAGATGACATGATTCTGTACGTTGAAAATCCCAAAAGCTCCACAACAGTTGTACTGACAGTGACAGAGGAATACAGAAGAGTGGCGACATACAAGATCAACAAACAGAAATCTATTGTTTTGCTATATATATTGGATAAGACCATGGAAGAGGAGATTAAGGAGGCAGTACCCTTCACAATACCCAAGAACCAATAGAAATAACTAGGGATATATTTAACCAAAAAATCAAAAGACTTTTACAAGGAAAACTACAGCAGGACCCTATTGTAAGAAACCAAAAACGACCTCCACAAATGGAAGAATACCCCATGTACCTGGATAAGATGACTGTATAATAAAGATGTCAATCTTACCCAAGGAACTATATAAATTTAAAGCTATTGTGATTCATATACCAACAACCTTTTTCGAATAATTGTAAAAGCTGACCACCAATTTCAGATGGAGAGGGAAGAAGCCCAAAATTAGCAGAGAACTCCTGAAGAAGAAGGCTAAAGTCAGAGGGCTCACTTTATCTGACTTTAACACTTACTACACAGCCACTGTGGACAACACAGCATGGACTGGTATAATGACAGATCATCAGAACAATGGAAAAGAACAGAAAACCCAGAAATGAAACCATCAGCATATATACAACTGATCTTCAATATGGGACCCAAAAGCATTAAGTGGGAGGCAGATGTTGTGTTAGACAGGGTTCTTTAGAGAAACAAAACAAGAATGCTAATCATTTTATATATATTTATACAGATAGATAGATGTATAACATAAGAAATAAACAGTTAACTAAATTATAAAGCAGTACAAATGGCTCAGTACAACTCAGTCCTGTGAGATAGTTGTGAGACACTGGCAGTCCTTCACGTCTTGAGGGCTGCTGGGTAGTCCTCTGTAGAGCAATTCATGCTATCTGGGGACAGGCAGCAAACAGCAAGGCAGGTCACCAGCAGTCAGCCAGATGATAGGGTCCAACAGTCCCAGCTCAAGAGATGTAAATTCCAATGGTATGGCGAAGCAGGTCTTAAAAGAACCACAAATTACAGCGACACAGTCCACGGGTTAGGTGTCCCATTGATAGTGTAGTTTGCAAGTAGAGGCAAAGAACAAGCAAGGCAGCTGCACACTGGTCCGATGATCAAAGAGCAAGAGACTTGAGTGGAGGCCCAATGTCCTTCT